ATTATCTGAAAAAGATTTCCTTAAATCAAACGAAAAATTCTAGTTACAGAAAATGATACCATCAGACTTTTCCCCAGATATAATTTTTCAAAAACTGAGCATGTGAAAATCCAGCTGAGGCCTGGTTAAAAAGTTTAAACTTGAATTCCATGCCATTTGAGAACAAAATTCTTACTAAGCATTTATAGCCACTTTCTAGTGTAACACTTCTTTTGCTGTCGTTTGGACAGCAGAATTAAAGTAAAGTATCCTCACACATAGGCCCATTTTTTTTTTTCATGGGCCCTTTGTGTTCCCATGTGGACTGATGTGGTTTTCTGCAGGGATGCAGGAGTGAGCAGGCAGGGACAGAATCTTCTGATATTTGATGTGAAGGTTTGATCTGACTTCTCCTATATGGGACAAACATTAACTTGGCAATACCTGAGCTTATATCAAAGTATTTCTACTACATAATTTCTTACTGTGCTAAGTATTAACTGTAGTATATTTAAAGAAGTGAGTTTGCAAATAATATTTTCCTTTTCCTTTATAAAGATATAAACTTAAATGCTAAAAAATCCAAGATCTAATCTTGCTCTCCAGCTGAAGTTTAGGAGATTTTAATGAGGAGTAAAAACCTGTAGCAAACAGGATTCTCTTGTCGTCATTATCTCCTTTAATTTCCTTGTGCTTTAAATAGAAGCAGAAGTATTTTTGGTTATCAAGAAAATACTTGTTTGCATTTGTGGATTCATCAGCCTCCAGATGGAAGAGGAGAAAGGAGAAAATCTGTACTGATGCTGAGTGCATATGCTTCAGAGGAAACCAAGTCAGTGTGGACAGTCTGGGAGGTAAACACAGAAACAGGGAAAGAAAAGTATAGGACAAAGGCTAGAGTGAGTTCAGTGTTGTTTACTGCAAGGGGGACTACTGAAAGGTTATCTACACCTCTGAAAATGCTGTAGAACTAGTCTGATTGGAACAGGTTGTGCAGATGCTCCATCCCTGGAAACATTTGAGATCACGTTGGATGGGGTCTGAGCAACCTGGTCTAGTTGCAGGTGTCCCTGCTCACTGCAGAGGTTTGGACTAGATGGCCTTGAAGGGTTCCTTCCAACCCAAACCACTCTGTCTATTCTGATTTTACAGATTTTTAGAAATTTTCAGCTTTTTTTTCTGCCTGTGGCAAAACTCTTTGATTGTAACAGCTTTAAACAAGCAGCTTTTCAATTATCAGTTTGTTCTTTTCTATGTCAATTCTTCCCCAGCATCCCTTCCCCTCCTCTGGCAACTGCCTGCCCAGTCCTCTGGGTCCTGTCCCCTCACTGGTACCTGCTGCCTTCACTGCCCCGAGCCTGGTATGGGAAGCCTAGAAAACAAAAAAACCCCAACCTTTTCAACCTTTGTGATGCTGCTGGGCTCTTTCTGCTCACTACCTGGGCCAAAAGCAGTGGCTGCTGGGGTTGTAGTCAGCAGAGCCACGCCTGCAGATGGGTTTTGGAGTCTGGCCTCTGAACATCTCCTGTAACTGACGGCTGCATCAATATTCCAGATCTAAACACAAAAGGACTTTTAGGCAGTGATTCTAAATTGTTTTAGCTACTACAGGATAAGAGGTTTTTAACATTGATCCTTCTTCTGCAGTGCTACCAGCTATAGTTTTCATTGGTTTGAGTGCATTTCAAATTATATCTGTTTATGTGTGTATGTAAATGTTTATGCCTATAAAAGTTTTTTGGTCATAGAGGTAAATTCATGATGAGAGCCATTCTGGACAGGTAATAGGCTTTGAACTCCTCTGTATAGATTTGCTTTGGGTGGTTTTTTTTGGTATTCAGAGTGGTGTGGTTTTTGTGGTTTTTTTTGTTTGTTTGTTTGTTTGTTTGTTTGTTTTTTGTTTGTTTGTTTTTTTGTTTGTTTGTTTTTTGTTTGTTTGTTTTTTGTTTGTTTTTTTTGTTTGTTTTTTGTTTGTTTTTTTTTTTTCAGAGAACATAGGGAAGTTTTAAATCTTGAATAAAATATGGTGGCATAAAAAAATCCTTTTGTTCATGTAAATGATGAAAAAGTCATGTCATAAACCATGATATCATTATCTCTATTGCCATCTTCCTTATACCCTGTCAAAAAGATTCCTTTCCCACACATCCCCCTTTGAGGTATCATTTGTACAAGCCTAAAGTGCTGTCCAGAACACAGAGGACCACGTCTCTGTGCTGTGGCTGTGGGGTAAAGGCATCACAACCTTGCAACATGTAAGTAGGGCTGCTCTGCCTGCTGCCTCCAGGAAATCTCAGCCATTGGCACTGCTGAATGTAGTGTCCCCATTCTGCTGTGCTGAGCTTTTAATGTTCGTGTGCAACTTGACAGCTGAAAGCTTTAGGGGTAAAACTTTAAATTATAACTAAATACCTACATAATATTAAATAAGTATATAACCCCCATGTCTAAAATCGAGTATCCCAGTTGACTGCAATAATATTTTACTTTCTCCTGCTGCTGTGGTAGGCAGGTCTCTGCTTTTTGGGAGCTGGGAAGAGTTTCCTCTCTCTGCAGTTTCCAGTGCTGGGTTCAGTGCGTGTCCGTACGTTGCCTCGCTACCTCAGGAAGGAGCATTGTAATGACCTGTGCCTGCCAATGTAATAAAATCCTCCTGGTGGGGAAGCGGCTGGGCCGCCAGCTTCAGCGCTGTACCAGGGACCAGGTTTGTGCTCTCGTGTGGAGGCAGTCCAGCCTTTTCTGCCCTGGAGTGTTGTGCAGCCCCAGGACCACCTCCTGGCTGGCAAGCGCACAGAAACAACTGCCAGCACGATGGGGAAGAAAACACAAGGAAATACCGTAACCAGAGCCTTAAACCTAGCAAGGCTCTATCTAAAGGCATGCAGAAGGAATTTGCATTACCAGCAGAAGGAGGAAATCTCCTGTGAACACTTTGGGCTTCTAGTTTTCTAAAAGGATCTAGATGAAAGGTTGCGCGGTGCATTTTCGAGGCCTCCAGGCGATTACTTAGCTATCAGAGTAAAGCTTATAATTGGGGTATGGGGAGGATGAAAGGACAGTTAGGAACAAATTCAATTTATAACATGAAATGATTGCATAATAATCTTTTTGCATTAAATTAAATAGTAATAAATGTAGTCAAGCCATGCATTAGATGTATATCCATACTGTTAATTGTAATGTCATTTTTCTGTTGCACACATTTACTGGTTCTCTTGCTAAGGATGAGTTTTGAATAACTAATTGTGTTTATGTAGCTTTCTATAAGAAGATGCAAATTTGTCATCTGATGTTTGTAACTTGCCAGAAGGCTCCTTTTCCTTTAGGGAATATTTTGCTTTGATTCCTAATCATGGCAAATGCATTGCAAACAGCTAAGCACAAGGTGTCCTTGGAAAAATCTCATTTTTGATAGGTTTTCCCCCTACAAAGCTAGACAATTTGAAGAGAATACTTTGGAAAATGGCAGTGGTTTTCAGCAGTAAACTTGATCTTGGTAAATCCCCTAGCAAATATACCAGTACTTGGAGAAACTCTTTTGGACTCCACTCTTAAACTCTGCTTCTTTTACTTTTGAGGAGTTGGGAGCTCTGTAAGCCTTCATATGATGGTTGAGTGGATACAGAGAATGAGAACTATCTCATGCATAAAGTTGGTCCTGTCAAAACACATGCATACCCATGGAGAAAAATGTCTTAAACTGAGGTTATTGTTGCCTCTCCTGTAGAACTGGACAAGCCAGGTGTCTGCTTTAACTTAGTTTCTGTGTGAGCACTCAGGAGAATTATCCTCTGATAAAAATCAGTCTTGTTGATACTGGACTGAACTGTTGGGTGAGATCTGGACACTTGTTTGTCAAGAGTAATCTGCACTCAATGCAGAGAAGTCCTTTTTGTGGAAGTGAGATGGAACTTGTCAGGAGTAATGGGGCAGTTGCTTCCTGCCCTGTGTCTTGAGCACAGGGGCTGCACACTCTACAGCCTTCTGCTCCAGAAACAGGCTTCACTGGATCTTTCCTGAGCATAAAGCAATTTGTTCAAAACTCTCTGCTGAAAAACAAATGGAATTTGTTTTCCTCTGATTTCCTCAAACATTTTCATCCTTAATTTCCAAACACTTGTGTTAACACTGAAGACTTACTTTGCACATGACAGTGACGTGATGATGATGTGGGAGGAAGCTCCCTGGGTGCAAGAAGAGACTATTTCTATTAGCTGTACTCAGTACAGTGCTTTGAAATATTTCCATGTACTTGCCACTCTGTGCTGGATTAGTTATATATACACAGCCCTATATGCTTCTATGGAAGTTCAGATAGGCCTCAAAGTTGAACTTAGAAACCTTATTGTTTTGACTGAGCACTAAAGCTGGCAGCTCAGCTTCTGACATCTAAGGGTGGACTACTCTAAAGTCTGCTTATTTAAAGGCTTTCCTCAGGAGGTAAGAATCAGTAAGGATGTTTATTTTAGAGGGCTGGGAGCTGGCTAGTATGTTTTAACAAGCTCTAGCTTTACAACTTTTAAATAATTTTTTTTTTTTTTAATCAGAGTCTGATATAATCTTAAATGATTGCATTGGACTTGACTGGCATTTGGCTACAAGTGTCAGAAGAAAGCTGATCTTGGCTTGGTTGAATTCAGGGAGCTGGCAGGATTGAGGGAGCTTATGAAGAGATTTCCATTTTGACTGTGATCTTCTCTCTGTGTGGACAGTCCTACTGTGTGCAGGGACTCTGAGAACATCCGTTTTAAACAGAGGGAAGATATACTTTGCATTAGTTGTGGTGGTTCTTCAGATGCTACACAACAGTGCATTGTACATCCACATGGAATGGAAAAAAAACCCACGTTGATGTCTGACATACATTAAGCAGTGTGACAAGTAGATTGTTGGGTGCATAGTAATAGGCTGAACTACAGCAGGGAGATATTCAGCACAGTTGGTTTCTGCTAATGACATAAACACCATTGGGTCTTAGCTGGGTGCATCTCAACTAATGACAGTGCATTCTCTTGTTCTAGGAGCAGCTTACTGCCAGTTTATGGACATGTTGTTCCCAGGGTGCATTAGCTTGAAGAAAGTGAAGTTTCAAGCAAAGCTGGAACATGAATATATTCACAACTTCAAACTTCTGCAGGCATCGTTTAAAAGAATGAATGTGGATAAGGTAGGCACTCTGTGTTTGTATTTCAGCCACTACAAGTTTCAAAAGTTGTATGAACTGGATAAAATCAATAAATAGGGGAAACAAACTTTAAAATACCTCAAGTCCACTTTTTTCAACTTTTGGACTGAGAACTGGAGTTACAAGTTGTATGTGAAGATGTTCTTCTTGACCTCTCATCATCTGAAAAGTGTATTTAAGGCACGAAGGAAGAAATTTGGCATGCTCCATTTAGGTACAAACTGAAAATTGAGTCCATGTGTCCACTGAGGAATTGTGCAGCATAACTCGTTATGTCTTAATATCAGAGACCTTTGTGATAAAATACCATGTGTTGGAAATTCCTCACCATCAGTGAACCTTAATTTTAGATACAGTAAAATTACTGGTGACCTGAATTTCCAACAAAATAACTTGGAAGTATGCTGTCCTTTTAAGTATCCATGTTTCTTGCCCAAAAGGGGGTTTAAGGAATTTAAATTATTCAAGAGCTGGAATATTTTACCTAGTGATTCTATAGGTTGGGCAGCACATGTGATCTTGCAGAGTTAAGAATGGAAGTCTTTGAGAACATAGCTTGTTCAACCATAAGGTATTGATTTATGCTTGAATGTGAGAGTTTGATGGACTCACCAGAGTAAATTACTGTGTTAATAAAAATGAATATGCAAATTTGTGTTGTGATCCTTTTAGATTTACACAGATGTGCTACCTGTGTACTCTTTTAAGGTTCTGCTCTGGCTTTTAGTGTTGCCTTACTCTGAAATTTAAAGTCTTAATAGAGAGTCCCAGAAGACTCTTATAAAGCGCTGGAAAACTCTCATTGTTTCCTGAAATGTTGTGGCGGTTTCTATTTACAGTGTGATTTACTAGTGAAACATTGGAAAGCCTAAAAATGTTAACACTGTCAATTTTTCTGTAGGGAGCAAACTGACTGTGCCTTCTCAGTGTAGAAGTAAGATACAAATGGAAAAATCTTAAAGGGCACACAAAATGCTACGTGAATCCTTGTAGGAGTATCATAGACTTCTAAAATGCTGTACAGTTGGCTTAACCTTGAAGAAAAAATGAAAATTGCAGTGGTTTTAGGTGGGCTTTTTTCAGCTGAAAATGGAATGCATCAAGGAGGCATTAAGATCCATTTAACTTGAGTATTTAATTCTCTGCATGAATCAAGCAAGGCAGAGCAACCTTCCTCCTGCAGTTGTAGTCTTTGTCTGCCCACAGTATCTGGGGAGCTTGACCACTGTAATATTGGCCCAAGACACCTGCTGGAGGTTTCATTTCTGTGAAAAATTTGCAAGATATGAATATGGAGACATCCTCAGAACCTTTCTTTTGTTTCACTAAAACTTCAGAGGCATTTTAGTCAACTTCTGCAAGTCCACAAACCGTTCTATGTATAGCTGTATATGGAATGGAAAAAAATTACAAGGTTAAAACCTCAGGGTGAGTTCGTATGATGAACATGTACTACCAAAATGTAGGTTGGTTTGAATTTCAGCATGTCTTGGAAAAGCTGCTGGGGTTCATGTAGTTCAAACAGTAGGACAGAGAGCAAGAAACTCCCATCTGGACCTTTTGAAGAACTGTTCATTTTTAGGATGCCCAACTGTAGGATGTCCACTGAAACCAGAAATCCCTCGTTAGCTGAATATAGTGTTCCTCCCAGAACAGCTTCATTCATCATGGCTGTCACTGCAGTAAGAAAGGAGTAACTCTGTGGAACTGCAGTTACAAAGGCTTACATACACCCACTCTCCAGCCACATCAAAGGCTGGGTCCTTCCTTTATTTTGGTTTCATTTCTTATCAAGAGCACTTGCAAATCCACCATGATTTTTTTTACAAAGGTAAAACAAGTTTTTTACAAAGTTTTTTTTTTTTTGTAAAAACTGTTTTTTATAAAGGAAACAATGGCAGAGGGATATATGCTGATAGTAGATGTTTTTAATTTTTTTTTTTTTTTCAAATAAGTGGATGTATATCATTTTTATCTTTGAAAATGGCAGTGATGTATTATTGGAACCTTTATTCTACCCTTCAGGTAATTCCCGTGGAAAAACTGGTTAAAGGGCGCTTCCAAGATAACTTAGATTTCATCCAGTGGTTTAAGAAGTTCTTTGATGCTAACTATGATGGGAAGGAGTATGATCCTGTGGAAGCTCGACAAGGCCAAGATGCTCTTCCTCCACCAGATCCTGGTGAACAGATCTTCAACCTGCCCAAAAAGTCCCACCATGCAAACTCTCCGACTGCAGGTATTTTGCGTCTTGAAAAAATCCATTTCTGTCTCTGAAGACAATTGTAAACTGTGATCTATTTTGTGTAAATACTAGTTAAAAATTATGTCCTCACATGGGTAGGCCATTCTTTTTTCCTTGTCATTGGCTTAGTATCTGAGAGAGCAGAAATTAACTTCTTGTGGCATGTGCTAGTTTGGTCCAGCCCTCCTGAGCATAGGGCCTCCTCCACTGAACTCTTGAAGTAAATTATATGGATTCTAGGGGTGTCTGATGGTGAAGACAAAGGCATTTAATCTTGTTGCCAAGTGTGGTATATGTAAGCATGTTTAAGAATATTAAATGGAGTGTGTTCCCCTCTCACACCTGTAGCCCTATAGGAAATTGTTGGCACAGGCTGGGTTCTTGTTTATATTTTATGGTTAGTGAAATGCTTCCAGATCTTAAGGGCTGACCAGAATTGAAAAATGAGTGGATTTGTGCTTTCATATGTGCTCATTGTTCAGGTACACTAGTCCTTTTATGTGAACAATATACAACTACTGCTTTTTCTCAAAGATAACTCTGTCTTCTTTTTATTTTGT